TGGATGGATGGATGGATGGATGGATGGATGGATGGATGGATGCATGGCTGGATGGATGGATGCATGGATGGATGGATGGATGCATGGATGGATGGATGGATGCATGGATGGATGGATGGATGCATGGATGGATGGATGGATGCATGGATGGATGGATGGATGCATGGATGGATGGATGGATGGATGGATGGACTGTTTTGTTAAAGCAGCTGTTATGAGATTTCTGAGAAAAGTTGAAGTTGTCTCCTCCTCGTAGAAAAGAACTTACTTTTGTTGGGACAGAAGTCTTTTACTGGAAACGTGTTGAAGGTCAGGATGAATTCCAGTGTCCAGTTAAGGTCGTCTCTTCCTTTGGTCAACTCTTGAGTCCGAGTCATTAAACCGTCGTTTTCATCGTGTAGCTGTCGATTGTAAATTGTTAAGTTTGTGTTTTTCTCAGTTAGCATCTTGTTGTTGTCTTCAAGCCCTTGGATTGTTGATTTCAGCATCATCACTGAACCAAAGAGACATCAATTAATTATTTAGTAAAAGCATGTATATCACTTAACTAATGGGTACCCTTATAAATTACTAATAAATAGTTAATAACCTATAGCCGTACATATGTAAACAATAAAGCAGTTAAAAGCTTTTAGTTTAAAAGAACATTACTGACTTCTTTTTGGCAATTAGTGAGCCAACATTTATCTGTACTTGCCATTCTCAGTGTTCACTGTTTACTCCTCAAGCTTTAGATCTTAAACTTCCAACATTTGTCAGTAAGTTACTTAAAGGCAATAACTACGAGCATTTAAAACAATTGATGTTCTGATTCTGGTTATTATTCATTAAGTCCTCCATTAAAATGTAAACTTTAAGCTGAAGACCGACCAGACTAACCTTGCTGATTAAAAACCACTGCAGTGATTTTTACATGAAGTTTGTAGAAAAGAAAACTCACACGTGGCCAACAGGCCGATGACTCCTGCCACCAGGAGGACGCAAAGCGTCCCCAAACACATGAGCAGCCGAGAAGTCGGGCGCTTTGCTGCTGGTTTAGCTTCTGTTTAAAAAGAGAACAGTGAGGATTAGTTCAGTTTATTCAAAGTGAACTGAACTTTTGGGAAGTTTTAGAGAAACTTCATAGAAAACAAACTGATACACTTCTCTGTTTTTCATGCACATCTGCCAGCAGAGAGTTGTGAACTTGTATAAAGTGAATTAAAAATAAACTGTACACTTTTTTGGAAGCGTCATTGTCCAACAGGGTTTTTTTTACTTTTGAGACCCGTGTCCTCACTGGCTCCCCTGCATCTTCATACTTTATTCTGTTCAACTTGTCATTTAAGGCACTTGATGTTTTTTTCTTCCCATTTATTTACATTGATTTTTATTTTTGAATTAGTAATAGTTCCAAAAAAAAAAGTTTGTCCTTTTCTGTCTATGAGCTCCTATTTATCCCAAAAAGTAGAGAAACTAAAAATGCACATCAAACAAACGTCTCAGGAGGTTAAAGTCCACAGAAAATCAGTGATCTGGATTATTGAAAGAAGAAGTAATCAACAAAACTGCCTTTTAAATTTAACAGCCTTTACTGTGTAACAGTATTTAATCAATACTTGGAGTTGGTGTAGGATTCCAGTGTTTTCTATCTGCAGGTTCCTGAGTTCTGGGCGGCGCCAATGAGCCTTACCTGTGATCATTTACCTTGACCTCAAATTGTCTAGCTGCTCCTCCACCGCTCACCTCCTGCCTGTCTACAAATCCCTACGAAACCACCACCATCACCTCGACCCCTTCTCATCACTGACCATACGCACCTGGAATCCACCCTCCTCTCAATGCAGTGACACCTGTAAGGAAAGAAAATCTGTTCATAACCTCGCTAGGGGTTGAACAGACTAACCGACTAATCGACTAGTCAATTTTTTATCGTCTCACGAGTTTTTATGTTTCAAGTCGACTAGTCACCCCCCCACGCTGTTCCCAACCCTATTCCACCCAATCCACGTGGTGGATTAAATAAAATTACATTAAAAACAGCATTTTTGCAGCTTGATAATAGTTTTGTTTTTCCTTTGACTTATTTGCAGTGTGATAAACGGTAGGAGCATAAATACACGCCCAATGTTTTGTTGTTCTTTTGTTTGTAAATAATAATATATATATTTTTCCTAATATACATTTTTTTGCAAATATGATATAGCGTCTTGAGTTCCTTTGACATCACCGACTAGTCGAAGTCGACTCGAGTTTTATCGTGTTAAAGTCGACTTTTAAAAATATGTAGTCGTTTAACCCCTAAACCTCACGACCATCTACCAGAACCCATACTTAACCTTCTTCCTCCTTTTCTAGATCCTCCCAGTGACCCTGACTTTGGAGCTGGGGTGATGACAAGTATACGGACCCTCTGTCTAGTGGTGATGAGCGTGTGCATGATGGTCCAGGGTGTCCCCCGCCTCTCGCAACGTGACCGCGGGGTATGGGCACCAGTGACCCCCGTGACTCAAAAAGGAAAAAGTGGGTAAAGATGATGGATGGATGGATGGATGGATGGATGGATGGATGGATGGATGGATCAGGCGTTATGGGCAAGAGAACATTTCCAGACATACGGAGGCTGTGCCACAAAGCGTTAGGTTGTCATATAAAACCTCCTGAATTACTGCAAAACATTTTTGTTCAGGTACTGAGCTTGGTCTAATCAAATTGTATGTTTCTAATCTCAGCGTTTGTTCTGTTGTTGGTATTTCAGTAAAACGTTAGAACTCACCTGGACCAGTGATCCCAGACTCTTCCAGTTTGACTTCAGAATAATTTGTCAGCTCTTCTCCTTCTATATGAAAACACAATATGAGGAACTGGTGAGCAGCAACTGAAACATTTAACTAATAATTATTCGGTCAGTCTCAGTTTGTTCGGTTAAAATTTACTGCATGTTTTATTTACCAGTAAAACTTACTTGGATCAGCAGCTGCAGACTCGTCAGGTTTTTCCACAGGATGAGTTGTCAGTTCGATTTCCTTTTCTGAATGAAAGAAATAAGAACGTGTGTAAAAGAATTACAGATAAAGAAATAAAGATTGTGATAAACGTTATCATCTGGACCACTCTGAGGGTCACCCAGGTCCCTGAATGGCTGGAAGATAAGATTTTTTTAATATTTAGGTAAAGTTGTTTACTTACCCTGTACCTTGGCCGCAGCTGCTTTGGGTTTTACGTTAGCATAAATCATCGGGTCCTCGTTTGCCTCTAAACAACAGAAAAAACAGAACGAGGAACGGAACAGACATTAAACTCCCACAGAACTCAAGATGTCAGGGGTCACGAAGGCAGCTTGTGATAAACCAGCACAATTTCAACCTCAGCCTTCTCATAAATGTCATATTTGTCTTGATGTCCATCCCTAACAAGTTAATTTTGTTGTTTTTGAACATTTTAAGATAAAGCATCTTCAAAACAACAGAGAAACTTTGTTATAAACTCTTTAAGAATCTTTGTGTATTCTATATTCTTTATATCAAGCATCGTTTTCACCCACTGGTTCACAACTGCTCTGCACTAGTTGCACATTGTGTCACACTAGATCAACAAATATACTAATGGTTCTTTAGCCCAGTTTGTTAGAGCAGAAGTCAAACTAGTCAGCTATTCTGCCACACCAGTACAGTAGTCCCTCATTTATCACTGGGGGTTGGGGGTTGAGGGGGAGGGTTCGTTCTTAGTTCCCCCATGATAAGTGAAAAACTATGATGTAGGAATATTAGTACAAGCAGTAAGTAGTAGTTTATTTTAGTGTATATATATATATATATATATATATATATATATATATATATATATAT